AACAATATTATGTCAGTTTGGTCACTTATGTTCAAACAAAACTGATCTGAAGTGGAATAACTATAGAAGGCGGCCAACGGGATGACTAGAGGCTGGTACATATGTAAGAATGCGTGTATCGGTATCAAAAGCCAACCTTAAAAGCAAATATAAGAGAAGGCTGGCTTTTCTAGTTTAGCTAAATGAAGGCTGACAGTAAGATTGCTGTCTCTTTGTACACTAGAAAAATAAACACCGGGGATGGAACAAGAACTAAAGGTCAATACTGGCACAACTGGCACAAGGACAAATGCACATAAGCTCGTCATGAACACACTTAGACTGGAAATTAGAAGTTTTATAACCATTACTGAAACCAGGCACCAGGGCAGTTTTCTATCTGGAAGAGCAAAGAGAAAAAAAAGTTAACTTTTTAAAATGGAGTTTGACAAGTTTCTGAAGAGGATTATATATGTTTTCCTTGACAAAGTGGCACTAGGTCTGACAGCTGAAGAGATCCCTTCCAGCCCAATGCTCTTATTTCCTTCAAAGTAGTCCTGATGTCTTTGCCATGGTGATATTTACAAAACAAAGCTAGAAAAAAAAAAAATCAACTCAGTGGTTTTTTAAGCATTACAAATATCTGAAACCTCCAAGCTTTGAAAAGCATGCACTCTATTAGCCGGGGAATGAGTCTCTCTAGTGTGAACTGATATGCTTATGGAAATGTTCTGGTTTCATACATCTTTAAAAAGCAGTTCTCAAGAAATCATTGAGCAAATTTGTTTAAACAATGATTGATTAACCAATCTAAACATGCAACACCTAATGAGGATTGCATATCAAAGTCAAATCCCAGACTTTGGGTCTTTTGCCATCAGGAAAAAAAAAAAAAGGCTTTATTAGCTTTCAAATAGTATATTCTTCCTATCCACCCACTTAAATTCAAACACAGAAGGGATTTTGTTCAAACTTAAAAAAAAAAAAAAAAAAAAAAGCCCAACCCACAATTGGATAAAGACCAGGCGTAGTCCGAAAGCTTAATGTTTCAGAAAGTAAGGAGTACATGGAAAGAAGGCATTAATGGAAACTGTTTTGGAACTCTAAGTACAGAGGATGATATCTAGTGACTGCTATAATACTGAATCTGCACTGCCATTAAACTTAATCTTCGATATTTTTATTGCAACCTGACCCACTATGACATCTCTAAAGAAAATTACATTGTACACTACTATTTCAAGAAGTCAAACTTAGCTAGTCATCTGGGCCATAAAATAGCAGATTACTCCATCAGGCTGGCTAAAGCAACTAGGAATAAAACTAGATTTACCAACCACATTATTTTTATTAGGAAATGTTTCAAAGCAGACATAATCCCAAAAGACCTTAGCCTCACTCCATCCAAAAATATACAACAGAGAGCAGCAAAAACGTGAACTGCAGTATAAAGTACAATTTGTAAATGTGAGAAAAAAAAAAAATACAAGATGTGCCGTAATATATCATCCTATCAAAGCAAAATAAATTAACTGAACGTAGAAATAGAAAAGAATAAAAACTTCTGCAAAATTCATGTATTAAGAATTTAAACCTTTCTTATAAGATCTGACACGTGGTAATAGGAATTGCTCCACTGAATCCCTGCACATCAAGATTTAGTCTGCACTCCTTTTGCTTTCTTTGAAATTTGAAGGCTAATACAGTACTAAATCACAACTAGAGAGTAAAACCTCCAGAAAAAGCAAAAAAAAAAAAACCCAAAAAAAACCCCACCAAAAAACCCAAACAGTATCTTTAACAACAATATTCCTGAAGAACATGCATTTTATTTTGGATCATAGCCACAGAAGAGCTAAAGCACTGCTTCTTCTGCAATCATCTTAAATGTGGGGAACTGCTCATAATAGTAACAGACAAAAAAAAAAAAAAAAAAAAAAAATCCC